GTGTAGCTTTGCGCGAAATTGAAAAACAAACAAACAAACCTATTGAAGCATAGGGTCTTGCTGCAAGATTCTGCACGCAGAAAAGCATATTTAACCAGCCAAAATGTTTTTTACATGCTTTTCATGCGGTAATTTAGTCCTGGGAACCATAACTGAAAATTACACTGCTACTACTGGGGATAGTGTGACTGGCAGTATGTTTTAGTTTGTAAGATGACAACCAATCACAATAAACTATTAGCACGTGGTTGTATTTTTCTACAGTTAATTTTCCAGTAGTATTTGCTTTTAATACACTTTTTATTTACCGGTTTCATAGTTAATTTAATTTGAGAAATTTCATGAAGATAGTCCTTTCAACATTTATATATATTTTAATGAGTCAAATTTAACTATTTCCCAGCATTTGATTATATGTATAGACACAACACAATTAGTGTTTGTACCTCATACTACATAGTGCCTCTTGGTGACATTGCGCTAAGTCTGACGGCTTTTAACGCTTGAACCTGGGTCTCGATACCCGTGGTGGGCACAGCACAGATAGTGTAGCTTTGTATTTAATAGCAAATAAATAAATTTACCATAAACATATTATCAGTAACTTCTATACAAAAGGAAACTGCCAACATAGATCAGTGCTTTGAATTAACTCTATAATAAATATGGCTAATTTAATAGACCGGTCTACCTAGCAATATGGAATTTCATAAGAAAAAAGTGATGGTTAGAGTGCATTGATCAGACAACTTAATATTCTCGCTATTATCGATGTTTTCGGGCGTAATCCAACCATAACTAACGAGGTTCATTCAGACAGCTTACCGATTTCCGGTGACTGATGCTATAAAGGGTCTGAAAATGTCTGTGTTTAATTGAAGAAATACAATGACCTTAAAGTAGCCTTATGATGAAACTTCATCTATTTCAAAAGCCAAGGAAGAGTAGCCAATTAACAAAGTAAAATCCTAAAACGTTTAGCTGCCACGTTTTTCAATAAAACGCACTTCATTCTTCATTCTCGTGGGTCTTTTTCTAAATAACAGACAGAACTTGGTAAATATTGACGAATTCATTAGCAAGGATGCCTTATTAGGGATATTGCTAAGAAAACAAAGCAACATTAGGTTTTTAATCTTTAAGATTTACAAAACAGCGAATTTCACAGTTTTCTTTATACGTTTTACCCTGATCAAGTGGAGTCGACTTTCTTGTAAGGAAAACATTTTGTTTGTAGTGCAACAGAGAAAACACTACAAAATGAAACCCATAAGGTTAGATGTGCAAAAGGAATTACACATCAGCTAGTTTTGAAGTGTACTAATAGGATAAGCAGTGGAAAGGCTTTCTCTAAAGAAACCATCTAAGTGATAAAGTAGAAACAAAACGTAGTCACATTTACTTTTGTTTTCTGTACTTGTGTGAAAGCCTAACTCAGTTATCAACCGACAATCTATAAAAATCACGGCTTATTCTCTTTATCCTCGCTACAAAAGTACGTCTGAGCGTATATTGTGGACGTTTTATAATTTGAAAGTTTGTGGTATTATGTGGACATACCTGTAAATATTGTTTTGTATATGACTGTTAGTTCATTGAATATGTTTATTACTATTAATAAATTAACGACTTGTTACAGTATATTGATATTATGTGGCATACCTGTCAATATTGTTTTGTATATGACTGTTAGTTCATTGAATATGTTTATTACTATTAATAAATTAACGACTTGTTACAGTATATTGATATTATGTGGGCATTCCTGTAAATATATATTTTTTAACTATCGTGTTTTATTGTATTTTTAGCGCAATGCTTGTAATGTGCTATCTGTACTTTGTCCATCGAGGGGAATCGAACATCATATTTTAGCGCTATAAGCCAGTAAACTTAGTGCTGACTACCGGGGGGGGGTAAATATCGTGAATGATTTACTAATATATGCTATTTAATATTGATATTTGCAAGTATTTGTGTCAAAGCTCCTAAGGTTATCTGCTAATTTTGAACTACTGATCAGAGTGCTCCATCGTCCACTATCCATGCTAAGAGATTAACTGTCACTCTTATAATGCACCTATTTCTTAAAGTTCGAGGAATAGTTCATGGCATCGCACGGAATCGAAGCCTGTTCACTGGCTCCGAATTCCAGTATTCTACCAAAGAGCCAATCCATTAATAGTTTTGCTTTAATTCTGAATGATGTCTATACAGTTTAGGCATTATTGTTTAAGAAAAATCATTCATAATGTGTGAAAGGAATAGTTTTTGACAGCTGAATAGTTAGTTACTGACAGAACAGATAGGACTTATTTAAACTCGAAGAAAACCTGACCTTCTGAGGGGTCGCTTAAGCATTATAAGCATCATTAAGAAGGCGTTAGTCCCGACACCAAGCATGGCTATGATGAAAAGAGCTGTCGCCTCTGTGGTCTGAGCTGGATGACATGAACTTTGCTGGGTAGTGGATGTAGCGTTACTTGTGGTACTGGTGCCGAATCTCACCACATTCATTCTCACCAAAGAGCTGCAAGACATAGAATACAATAAATTTTTTCAATAACACCAATAAGCTATAAGACACACAGAACTAATGAAATGTTACAATACAATAAGGAATTTTACAACAATATCAATAAGCTGAGACACACGGAACTAATGAAATGTTACAATACAATAATATCATTAAGCTGTAAGACACACAGAACTGATAAAATCTATATAAATATAATAGTACTGTCTGTTGTATGCCCATGTAGCTACTTCGCAGGGTTTGGATGGATCTTCACCAAAATTAGCATGGAGATTCATTAGGTTCATGCGGGGGACATACAAACGCTCAGTTTTGCATTTTGTGTTTTGCGGTTTTTATGAGCATTTTTGCGTTTTTTACCACTACTTTGCCCCCTATTGATGGACCTTCACCAAATTTGGCATCAAGGTTTGTTGGGTCCATGCGGAGATACATGCAAAGCTGTGGTTTCACATTTTGTGTTTTGCAGTTTTTACGGGCGTTTGGAGTTTGAAGTTAAGCACAAAGCTACACCGTGCTCTGCCCACCACGGGTATCGAAATCCGGTTTCTAGCGTTGTGAGTCCGTAGACATACCGCTGTGCCACTGGGGGGGGGGGGGCTACATATAAGAGAAGCAACTTTTCATGTCCTGAGATAACTTTTCATTAATCCAGAGGACGAGTACTCCAGCTGGTGTTGCAACACAATAAGGAATTTTACAACAATATCAATAAGCTGTTAGACACACAGAACTAATGAAATATTAAAAAAACAATAATAAGTTTTACAACAATATCAATAAGTTGAAACACACAGAACTAATGAAATGTTACAATACAGTAAAGAATCTTACAACAATATCGATATTACTGCTTTCATGACTAATACCATGTTGTTGTTGTTTCCGACCAATTTATTATATTGTACGTTTTTGTGATATATTTATATTTAAAAAAAAATTACACAAGCCCACTATCATAATATAGTTGTCTTTTGTTATTCGTGTTAGGCCTAATGATGTTGAAATGATAAGTCTGGACATCACACATTCATGACATTAGATATTTCTATTTACTACATATTAATGTCACTGGATATTTCTGGTTACCACACGTTAATATTACAAAATTATACACTATATGTACTATATAAATAAGAAAAGCCGTCCATATGTCCGTCTATAACGCCGATATCTCAGCCAATGCGATACCGATCGACACGATACGACGGCGCTTTCTGCCGCCACAAGAAAGTTTATCTTTTCAAAATTCGTCCAGCCATATATAAATATAAAACGGACGATGCGCTACTTTGGGCACATAATTAGATTTGAGGGTAGGTTGGTAGAGATCCTGATGAGTAATGAAATCGAATCGGGTATACGAGCGCCTTACACTTGGTATTGCTGGCTCACAAAAATCATAATCATTGGCTGAAATTACCCATAACTTTTGCTCTGTTGTCAAGGTGACACATTGACGCAACATCACCAAATTTTGTCCATAATAATCTATAATAATCCGCATGTTTTACTTGCAGCACATTTCAATTTTGAAATTGCCCAAATTAAAGCAAGCTTCTTCAGCTCAGCAGGCTAACAAAACCAAACCAGAAAGACAGTCCAAAGAAAAGACCCCGAAATTCATAATAATATTCACTGCCTTTATCATCACAATTAACAATTTGCAGATCATACAGTTAAACAAGTAGAAATTTATATTTCAGATTCAGTTTTTTTGCATGTTTTAGTCTATAAGGATTTATCAAGAAGAAACTTTGAACATAACTTAAAATATACAGAAGTTAAAATGCAAATCCAGCAATACTTAATAAAGGAGTTGAACAAATATACATAAAAAATGTTTTCGTGAAGTACTAGAAATAGGATAGTCATTCTTCATATATGTGTTGTTACTAGATTATAAATGATTTTTAGAAAACATGTTCATAAAATATTTATTTAGATATAATTTTGAGAAGATAAAGTAATCATCATTTCCTGTTTAAGAATTCAGCTTATATATATATATATCTACATACACACACATATATATACAATTAAACATTTCTGGTTACCACATACTCATATGATAATACATTTCAAGTAATCATATTTATTTGTTACCAGATATTACACTATACGTTCATGTCATCAAACATATCTAACACACATTCGTGTTACTGTACCTTTATGTACGTTCATATCACCAAACATATCTAACACACATTCGTGTTACTGTACCTTTATGTACGTTCATGTCACCAAACATATCTAACACACATTCGTGTTACTATACCTTTATTTACGTTCATGTCACCAAACATATCTAACACACATTCGTGTTACTATACCTTTATGTACGTTCATGTCACCAAACATCTAACACACATTCGTGTTACTATACTTTTATGTACGTTCATGTCACCAAACATATCTAACGCACATTCGTGTTACTGTACCTTTATGTACGTTTATGTCACCAAACATATCTAACGCACATTCGTGTT